GGGGAACTCGACACTCAGGTACATTGAGGACAGAGTGTGACACCTGTTTTGACCCTGTGTCACATGTCAGAGGCTCAAAGAATTTCTTTGTGTTGTGCTGACACTTCTTTAATATTACATTCCTTCTTAGAGAGGGGCCTTTCCAGGCAGTAAGAACAGAGTAAGTGGCTCCAGAGTTGAATAGAAATTCAGATTCTTTTCCCTTCTTTATTCAAAGTAACCCAGGGCTCCTCATGGGAGATTGAAATGTTACCTTTTGGAATCAAAAGGGGAGCTTTCAGTCTTCATCTTCACTCTGAGGTAATTGCAAAGAATTAAGAGCTTCCCTCCTTTCTTCCCTAAGGATGCTTGGGGCATTCTTTCTCCCAGTGACCCTTTTGTTTGCAATATACACACTGAGTATAGCTTTGCGGGACATCTTTGCTTGGTCTCATGGTGAGAGCTGGGGTTACATACCCAGGGTGGTCTTCTGCCTCCTCCAATTACCCAAAGCCTAAAAGGCAGCAGCCGGAAAAGCAGCCTGCTTTTTCATCTTTCCTTCCTTCTTTTTTTCTGTCACATCTCTGTTGTTAAAAACCCTAAAAGCCACCTCTACTAGTTGGGAGGTGGGAGTGGTAGTTCCCACCTCTCTTCTTGTAACTTCCTACAGGTATCCGGAGTACTCTGGGATGTGAAGTGGGTATTCAGGAGAGCTTCACTCCCTGGCTCTTTGGTATCTACTGTGGTGTATTGTCGTAAGCATTTAAAAATTTTTTTTTCCTAAGAAGGCTGAAGGGTTTTCATGGGCCTCTTGTGGAATGTTTCTAACTTTGGCCCAATTTGCAGGTGAGCAACTGGTGTCCTTCATACCCTTCAGCAATAGGTTCCTATAACACTCACAGTGAGCCCAAGCTCTTTGGTCATTGGGGTCCCACTAAGGATTAGCACTGGGAACTATTGCATGTGCTGGCCACCAGATCTGACTCTTAGGCTAAGTGGTATGTTGTTTATTGGCCTCTTTCTTGATTTTTAACAGTACAGTAGGTTTTTCCTCAGTAGTGATAAGGATGATTAGGATTGAATATCTTCCCAGTGGGATTATAGATGGTGAGTATACCACTAATCAAGCTAATAAACCCTCCAGATAAGTTTGAACTCCCTTAGTATTTCCCTTCCAGTATACAGATCTGATGTCAGGAAAGGATCATTCCCCCATTCTTGTCCAGAACCTGTCTGAAGGGGCATAATTTGGCCTCTGGGCTGGGTAAAAACTAGTATGTTGATAGGTAGTGGGCTCAGGTAGCCAGGGATAGAGAATTCAGTATTAATTTCCTGTTCTGCAAAAGTTTTCAAAGACATTCTTAACAGATTAGGGGAACCAAAAGACTCTGGAGGCTGATAGCTGGGAGGGGGAGCAAAAGGGAGGCTAGAAGAGGTAGGCCATCCTGGGAGGGAGGCATGGTCCCCTAGTTTGGGTACACCTGACAACAAGAAATCAAGGAGGTCTTCTGGGAGGCCCTCGAGGACTGGCAGTGTCTTGGCTGATGGTTCAGTTTTCAATCCTTGGGTCCTCTTTAATATATTTACCATTTTTCTTAAGAGGTGTTTCCAAACCCTTCAAACAACCTGGACTGACTAGCCTGCTATCAGTAACAGTAGAACTAACTCCTAGCTTCCAAGAAGGCCAGTAATAATCCTAGGGTGACTAGCAGAAAAATATCCTCACATTTACATATCAGACAAATAAGGCAAATGCAAATATATACACAAAGAACATAATCCAACTGTAGGGTTTGCAACCAGACCAGAGACTGTCACCCAACGATGTCCTAGATTGCCCTGCGGGCATCCCTCAACCCTCTAGAGCTAGACACCCAGAGCAGAGACTGTCACCCAAAGATGCCTTGCATTGTGTTACAGGCGTTCCTCAACCCTCCAGAGTTAGACCTAAGTTTGGCCCTGAATCAGGCATCCTGTGGACAGTTTCTGCCCAACCAACTGGAAACCAAACATGCACCAGAAATGAAACTACCTTTCTGACAACCCTATACCCAAAACAGATTAAAAACACTAATTATAGTGATCACAGAGGCCAACCTACCCACTGGCCTTCTTAAGCACTAAACAGAACAGGTTCAGGTGGCCACTCCACGTAACTGCCAAGACAGGCGAGGCACTGTTTCAGTGGTCCGCACCAAGCAGGCATCTTCTGTAGAACAGACCTCTTATTCAGTGAAGATTTAGGCAGGTAAGCCCTTATGAGCTGCCACCACTGACTGCTTCAACAGTATCCACACCAGACAAATAGAGACCTTTTAAGAGTTCCACCTGGAGTCACCAAAGTTATTACCTAACTGAAGAGGTTTGCCACTTAGGGAGCTCTATTCAAGAAGATGTGGTTGTCCCAAGGTAGTTTTATTTACTTGAAGGGAGTAAAGGAGATGGGATTCATATCCAGACCTCTCTGTCTCATGGAAGGGAAGCTTAGTCATTGTTCATATACACTATTTGGTCAATTGCACCTGATTTCTTTGAGTTGCTGCATTTATAGGATTGAGACCCTGTCAGGTTCATCGTGTTTACAGATGGTCTGCAAAATAGTGTGCTACATTTTAACGTTTGGCAAGAATAACATTTAGTGGCACTGGCCAGATAACTGAGCATTGTCTAGATACGCCAAGATTGTAGGTTCAGTCCCCAGTCAGGGCACATAAAAGAATCAACCAATGAGTGCATAAATAAGTGGAATGACAAATTGATGTCTCTCCCTCCCTCTATCCCTCTGTCCCTCTAAAAATCATTCAATAAAAAAATAATAACAGCATTTAGAACTGCCCAGACCTTGAGACCCTTGCTTATCTAACACTTTCTCCAACCTCTGTCCCCTTCCCAACTCTAACCCTCTGGACATACCTTTTCAAAAAAAAGACTAGGCCAGTTGTCTTGTAGAATATTCAGAGAATATTCTGTATTTGTTGGAGTATTTACCTGTGATATGTTTTGTTTGTTTTCTACTCCCTATATTTTCTGTGAAGTGGAAATTAGGTCTAAAAAGTGTGATTATACTCAGATTAAATATTGTTGCCAAGACTACTACTTAGGTTATTCTCTGTTCTTCATATTACATTACAACAGAGGACAGGTAATGAGATTGCCTCACTATTAGTGACACTAAAGTTGCTCACTTGGTTAAGGTGACCAACGGATAGCTTCAGTGTAAAGACCAACATTCCCCTTTTCAGTGAACAGGTAATCTGATAGATCCCATTCTTTTCAGCTGTGAGCTGACCTGATAAGAGTATGATGCTAAAAAACTGGGAAGAGGTCCATGTACCTCTGATTTCGATAAATTATTGAAAAAAAAATAGGAAAAGGTGTAATACAAAGCTCACTAATTTACCCCCTTTTGAGGATTACAGACTGTACTTAATAAGTGATACTCTGACCCTTTACTTGCACAATCTCCTCATGCTCTTTGGGTTCTAGTGATGGTGAAAGGCTGTTTGATGTGACAGAAGACTCATTCTGTTTCCAAACCGATGACAGCATGTTACAACATCAGGGACATGCTGGCTGATGGTCTCCTTCAGTCATGGAGGTGCTTGATGCATTGTTTTATATTATTTCTGGCATATGATTAAGCAGTCATCACACAAATGATATAATGCAGTGTGTGTGGTGTTTTACTCTTCACCACATTTTCTAAACTTAAATGTTGAGTATTCTTTATACTAATTGTTAGTAGTACATGCCTAGTGATAATTCTTATTTAAACTCTGTGTGAATCACATATTCTAATTAATATATTAAACCTCTTCTCATGAAAATTCAGAGTTTAGGAATTTTTTCCTCGAGCTGTTTCTATCCAGAAAATTTTGGAAAATATTTCTGAAATAAGTCAAGGTATGATGAAAGTTAGAATAGGCATCTGTATGGTGATAATTAATTGAATAGAATTATATTCTTTAAAGTCTGTAATTATATAATGAATTAAAACACAAAATCTTGATCAGAGTTACTAATTCCCACTAACAAGGAGAATGCAGCCTCTTGGGTTAAGTTCATCTGAAATACAGCTTTCTTGAGTTAAAATGTAGAGCTCTAAAACTAAATTTCGTGCTGGGTCAGTTTATAAGTCATTGATAGCCAAGTAATGCAGAGTGTGAGTGAGGGTGTGTGTGTGTGAGAGAGAGAGAGAGAGAGAGAATCACTATACCACAACTTTATGCTTTAGGAAGCAGTTCTTTGACTTAATTAACTTTTTTTTTAACATGTTACAGAGTGTTACAGAATATATACATGTTGGTCATACAGTTTATAATAAGCTTTTTATTTTTTTAATGTTCTCTCTCCTTGGGATATGGCAGAGCAGCAGTATACCTTAATCTGTTGTATATTTCATAGCTCTGGCGGGGGGGTGGCGGGGGAAAAGGGGGTGGTGTAGATTGTAGCACACTGTTACTCTACCAGCTGTTTCAATACAATTTAGATGTCGTCTCTCCTCCCATTCCTGTTTTCCCCTAGAAAATTGCTGGGAAGAAAAATGTTATTTTAACAATTTTGGCAGAAATTACAGTTTAATCAGAGCTACAGGATAAGCATTTCCTATGTGCTTATAGACAGACCTCCCTTACCTGGAATAGGCCAGATCGAGATAGCAGATGAGTCACTTGCTAATAGCAAGCCTATATTCTCTCCTTTTTGTCTGCTTCTTTTCCTATTCCCTCCTCCTCTTACTAGTTTTTTTCTGCCTATATTTGTTAGCCTTCCAGTGACTATTTAAAAGCATTATTTAAACCCTGCTGGTAAAGTTATAATAGTGTAATTGTGATTTATACTCACAATGAATGGCCCTAACCCTACACAACCAAAATGATTACATTGGCTTAATGGCTTTGCAACAGTTAACAAGTCCTTACTTCAGGAGAAACTATCTGAAATAAAAACAGTTATTATTTAAGAAATTTTGAAATGTTTCTTTGAATGATCAGTTTATTGTCGCAAATCTGTTTTACTTATAGGTGAAGTTAAAATGAACTATTTGGGCAAACCATATGTAGCCATGGTTACAACATATCAAATGGCAGTTCTTCTAGCTTTTAACAACAGTGAAATTGTCAGCTATAAAGAGCTTCAAGACAGCACTCAGATGAATGAAAAGGAACTGACAAAAACAATCAAATCATTACTTGATGTGAAAATGATTAACCATGATTCAGAAAAGGTATGGGAATTTAAAGGTCAAGGAATTTAAGCATTGTAAACATGAAAGCTTTTTCATGAGATAGTCACAGTATTGAAAGTAGGTAATAATTGTTAATGCCCTTGGTACTTTGGAAAGCACTTGAATCAGTTACATTACTGCCAGCTCCTTACAGTTGTGAATTTGAGGAGTCACAGAAAAGGCTGTGTTAAATTGGTGCCTATGTGCCCTTGATAGTTTGATTTCATTTGCCCTCTACTATGACAGTGTACTGAAAAATTGGAAAAGAATTGCCATCGGGAGTACTTTGGTTAATAGAGGTTGAAAACTGTAGCTTATTGTGAAACTTTCCGTTTTTTTCCCATGTGTTTAGTTTATATTTAACTGCATGGTTCTGTAGTAGGAAATGACAGCCTGTTGATGTCATTTGTATGATGTTTAAAATGTATTCTTCATCCCAAATACTCTCATTCTCGTGTCCTTTCATTTCAGGACTCAGATAACCACCATATTTTTTAATATCTGTCACAAGAATAGCAAGTCAATAACAGAGGAATAATAGTATATTCCTCTTTTTCTTTATGACTTTTTCTTTCCAGTAATACGTTTTTGTTATTGTAGTATATCTTGCATAAGTTAAATGGTTAAAAAAAAGCAACAGATGTAGGTTAAATCACCTACTTCAAATTATTGTGCCTATAAGAAAAAAATTCTTGTAAATGATATTTCATTTTTATTTTTGGTAAAGTTAATAGCCTACAATTTATTTCTTTCATGAATTCATTTTGCTGACATCCCTAAGATTAACATTTTTAAATCAAAGTTTAAATTTTTAAGCCTAATTGTTGGAGTTAGAAGTGTTATATATATTTTAAATGTGTTATATTTGATGCCCAGAAATGTACAAAATAAATACAGATTGCTTGTTTGCACGTTAAATTTTAATTATGAATCTGCCAGTTCCTTAGAATTCCTTAGGTTATTATTGAGAAAGAGTCTGTCCACCAAGTGCTTCTAGATCCTGCTGATAGAGAATGTCCACTATATGATATGAGTGGCTTTCTTAAGCCTGATAGAAGAAGTTGTGATTCTAAAAATTGACTTAAAAACTCTCAGTTGAGGAAAGGCTATTTGCTTCTGGCAAAGTGAAAAAAAACATGAACTAAAGATCAAACCCTTTTCAGAATCACACCAGGGTGATGGAGAAATGATACTTGTGTGCCACTGGAAAGAGCATGCTTTTATACTTAGATTATTTATAATTGGTATTTTGTTATTGCAGCACTTAAAAAATAACTTGGTTGTTTGGTTTTTCAAAATGGGAGTGATGGAAAAATTATGTGGAGGTATTTCATAAAAATTAAAATGTTAAATTCTGTTTAAGTCAGTGAGCTTGACTTTTTTTGTTTTATCCAAAGGTTATATATGTAATAATCAGGCCAGAAAATTGCTTATTTATTTAATCTAAACTGATTAAAATTCTATCAAGTGTAAAATTTAAAAAGAATTGTTTTTTACCTCTTTGACAGAAGACATTTATTTTTCTTTTAAATAATTTTTATACTGTTAAGGATTTTGAGAATTTAGTTTTTTTTTCTTGGTTATTTCATAGCATACTATTTGTAGCAACTCATATAATGGTTTTATATATTACACGTATAAATGAGTTATTTTTAATTATAGGAAGATATCGATGCAGAATCTTCATTTTCATTAAATATGAACTTCAGCAGTAAAAGAACAAAATTTAAAATTACTACATCAATGCAGAAAGACACACCACAGGTAAGTACTTTTCTATGTCATTTATTTTGGAAATATTTAAACATTGTACTTTGCAAGTAGTAACACTGAAATGATACAAAACTCTGCACATCAGAATAAATAATATAGTGCATCTTTTCTGGTTTATTCTTTGCTTTTACTAACCTTACAAACAAAATCTGCCACTAGTTTAGATTTTAAAAACAGTAGTGTACTATGTATCTAAGGAAAAGGGTGTTGCATTGCTCTTAAATATATGGCTCTACTTTGTATCTTTTCAAAAATTCCTTCCTTGAATAGTAATATAATCTGATATTTTTCATTTGTAAAATAATGGAGTTTTATAACACATCATTTCAAGAGAAAAGTTGTTAAAAATGCTTCTTAAACTTTCATGTGCAGTTGAACCACCGGAGTATCTTGTCAAAACTCAAATTGTGATCTGTGAGACATGGAATGGGTTCCAGATTACCAGATGAGCCAGTTTGCATGTGTGCTGTTGATTCTTTTAACTTAGCAGTGATTATTGCTTAGTTCTCAGATAACTTGTACATATCACTCACATTTCCTTATTGCCATCTATGCACCATCCTGTCCTTGGGCTTGGGACAGGATATAAAGGTATATAAGATGTCAGACCCTCTTCAGGACCTTTCCCTTGGGGAGACAAACATTAATGAATTATTATAAAATTTGAACCCTTAAATGTTCAATATTCTATTTTCCTGTCGACCAGTGAATAATTTATAATATATAGGTTGTATTTTACTTTCTTTTTAAAATTTAATCTTTATTGTATTTTGTCCATTATCATTTAGTCCGCTTGTAACCCCCACCCCCCAGCAATTACTGCAGTGTTGTCCGTGTCCATGAGTCCTTTTTCCTTTTGCTCAATCCCTCCATCCCTTACCCTCCTCCCCACTCCTCACAGCTGTCATCCTGCTCTCCATCTATGAGGCTGTTTCCATTTTCCTTGTTAGTTCTGTTTGTTCATTAGATTCCCCATATGAGTGAAATCATATGGTATTTCTTTTTCCTCTAGCTTATTTTACTTAGCATAATGTTTTCCAGGTCCATCTATACTGTCGCAGAGGATAAAATTTTCTTCTTTTTTACAGCCAGGTAGTATTCCGTTGTATAAATATCTCATAGTTGTTTTATCCACTCAACTACTAATGAACACTTGGGCTGCTTCCATATCTTGGCAATTGTAAATAACGTTGCCATGAACACAGGGGTTCTCACGTTCTTTCGAATTAGTGTTATGGGTTCCTTCGGATATATTCCCAGATGTGGGATAGCTGTGTTGAAAGGCAGATCCATTTTTAATTTTTTGAGGTATCTCGATACTGCTTTCCACAGTAGTTATACCAATCTACATTCCCACCAACAGTGCAAAAAGATTCCCCTTTCTCCACATCCTCTGTAGCACTTGTTTGCTGATTTACTGATGATAGGCATTCTGACAGGTCTGAGATAATACCTCATTGTGGTTTCAATTTGCATTTCTCTTGATTATTAGTGACATTGAGCATATTTTCATATGTCTGTTGACCATCTATATGTCCTCTTTGGAGAAGCGTCTGTTCAGGTTCTTTGTCCGGTTTTTAATTGGCTTGTTTGTTTTTTGGTGTTGAGTTTTATAAGTTCTTATAAACTTTGGGTATTAACCCCTTATCAGATGTATCAGCAAATGTGTTCTCCCATTCATCCCACAGGTTGTCTTTTTATTTTGTTTGTGGTTTCCTTTGCTGTGCAAAAGCATTTTAGTTTGATGTAGTCCCCTTTGTTTATTTTTGCTTTTGTTTCCCTTGCCTGAGGAAATATATATGATAAAATACTGCTATGAGCAATGTCCAAGACTTTGCTGCCTATGTTTTCTTCTGCAGCTTTTATGGTTTCAGGTCTAACATTTAAGTCTTTGATCCATTTTGAATTTTTTCTTGTGTGTGGTGTAAGAAAGTGGTCTAGTTTCATTTTTCTACACATATTGGTCCAATTTTCCCAACACTATTTATTGAATTACCTATCTTTAGCCCATTGTGTGTGCTTGTTTCCTCTGTTGAATATTGACTGACTATAAAGGTATGGATTTATTTCTGGCTCTCTATTCTATTCCATTGATCTGTGTGTCTGTTTTTATGCCAGTATCAAGCTGTTTTGATTACTATGACCTTATAGTACAGTTTGATATTCAGTAGTGTGATTCCTCCAACTTTGTTCTTCTTTCTCAAGATCGCTGTTGCTATATGGGGCCTTTGTGGTTCCATATAATTTTAAAAAATATTTGTTCTAGTTCTGTGAAGTATGTCATTGGAATCTTGATAGGAATTGCATTGAATCTATAGATTGCTTTGGGTAGTATGGACATCTTAATGATGTTGATTCTTCACATCCATGAACATGGTATTGTGCTTCCACTTATTTGTATCTTCTTCAGTTTCTTTCCTCAGTGTCTTATAATTTTCTGAATATAACTCTTTTACATACTTGGTTAGATTTATTCCTAGGTATTTTATTCTTTTTGTAGCAATTGTGAATGGGATTGTTTTCTTAATTTCTATTTGTTAGTTCATTATTGGCATATAAAAATGCAGCTGATTTTTTTATATTAATTTTGTATACTGATACTTTGCTGAATTTATTTATCAGTTGTAGTCATTTCTTGGTGGAACCTTTGGGGTTCTCTATGTACAGTATCATGTCATATGTAAATAAAGATAATTTTGCTTCTTCCTTTCCAATTTGGATGCCTTTTATTTTTTCTTCTTGTCTGATTGCTGTGGCTAGGACTTCCAGTACTATGTTAAATAAAGGAGATGAAAGCCGATATCCCTGTCTTTATCCCAATCTTAAGGGGAGCACTTGTAGTTTTTGCCCATTGAGTATAATGTTGGCAGTGGGTTTTTCATTATGACCTTTATTATGTTTAGGTATGTTCCCTCTATTCCCACTTTGCTGAGAGTTTTTATCATAAATGGTAGCTGGATTTTATTAAATGCTTTTTCTGTATCTATTGATATTAACATGTGGTTTTTATCCTTCATTTTGTTTATGTGGTGACTCACATTTATTGATTTGTGAATATTGTACCAATCTTGCATTCCTGGAATAAATCCCACTTGATCATGGTGTATGATCACTTGGATGCATTACTGTATTTGGTTTGCTATTATTTTGTCAAGGATCTTAGCATCTAAGTTCATCAGGCATATTCGCCTATGATTTTTTTTTGTAGTGTCTTTATCTGTTTTTCAAAAATGTTTATTTTATTGATTACACTATTACAGTTGTTCCATTTTTTTCCTCCCCTTTATTCCCCTCTGCCCTGCATACCCCCTCCCACTAGCATTCCCCCTGCCCCACTTGGCCAGAAGTCCTGGAGTCCCTTTATCTGGTTTTGGAATTAGAATAATGCTGGCCCCTTAAAATGAGCTTGGGAGGCTTACTTCCTCTTGAATGTTTTGAAATAGTTTGAGAAGGATAGGTATTAGTTCTTCTCAGAATGTTTGGTAAAATTCATCTGTGAAGCCATCTGGTCCAGGGCTTTTATTTGTTGGGAGTTTTTGATTGCTGTTTTAGTTTAATTATTCTAATCTGTCTGTTAAGAGTGTGTCTGATTATTCCTGATTTAGTTTTGGAAGATTGTATATTTTTAGGGGTTTATCCATTTTGTGCATGTTTTCCAGTTTGATGGTATATATAGTCGTTCATAATATTTTCTTAAATCCTTTGTATTTCTTTGGTGTCAGTTGTTATTTCTCCTCTTTCGTTCCTGATTTTATTTATTTGTGTCCTTTTTTTTTTCTTTATGAGCTTGGTATAGGGTTGTCAGTCTTGTTTATCTTTTCAAAGAACCAGCTCTTGGATTCATTAATCTTTTGTATCATTTTTTTATATTCTATTTTGTTTATTTCTGCTATGATTTTTTATTATTTCCTTTCTTCTGCTCACTTCAGGCTTTGTTGTTCATTTTCAAGTTCCTTTAAGTGTAAGATTAGATTGTTTACCTGAGCTTTTTTTCTTTTTTTTTTTTTTTTTGAGATAGGCTTGTAATGCTATGAATTTCCCTCCTGGGATTGCTTTCCCTGTGTCCCACAGATTTTGGATTGTTGTGTCCTCATTTTCATTTGTTTCATAGTATCTTGTGATTTCTTCCTTGATCTCATTGTTAACCCATTCATTATTCAATAATATCTTATTTAGCTTCCATGACTTTGCATGTTTTTGAATGCTCTTATGATTGATTTCTACTTTCATAGCATTGTGGTCAGAGAAGATGCTTGATATGATATCAGTCTTCTGAAATTTATTGAGACTTGTGTCCTAACATGTGTTCTATCCTAGAAAGTGTTCTGTGTGCATTGGAAAAGTATGTATATTTTCCTTTGGGGTAAAATGGCCTGAAGATAATAATTAAATCCATTTGATCTAGTGTGTTATTTAAGGGTGCTGTCTCCTTGTATTGATTTTCTGCCTGGAAGATTATCCATTGAAGTCATTGGGGTGTTAAAATCCCTGACTATGCCTGTACTTCTGCCGATCTCTCCCTTCATGTTTATCAAGATTTGCTTCACATATTTAGGTGCTATGTTGGGTATGTAAATGTTTACTGGGGTTATATCATCTTGTTGGATTGTGGCCTTTATCATTATGTAGTGTCCTTCTTTATCTCTTACTATATAGCTTTGATTTTAAAGTCTGTTTTGTTACATGTATTGCTACAAGTATTGCTACCCCAGCTTTCTTTTCCTTTCCATCTGCATTTTTCTATACTTTTACTTTCAGTGTGTGTGTATCTTTCAATATGAGATGGGTCTCATGGAGGCAACATATATATGGGTCTTATTTTCTTGTCCATTTAGCTACCCTATGTTTTTTGGTTGTAGCATTTAAGACATTTACATTTAATATGATTATTCATAGATAATGTATTTAGTGCCAAGTTATTGTTAGACTCTTTTCCTCTGTTTCCTTTTTTCTTTTACTTCTTTCTTCTTCTTCTCCCTCTTCCTCCTCTTCTTAGCCCTTTAACATTTGTTGCAGTACCGCTTTGGTCTTAACAAATTCCTTCAGTTTTTTCTTGTCTGAGGAGCTCCTGATTTCTCCTTTGATTTAAATGATAGCCTTGCTAGGTGAAGTAGCCTTGGTTGTAGGTCCTTGCTTTTCAGCACCTTGAATATCTCATTCCACTCCCTCTGGCCTGAAATGTTTCTGTTGAGTAATCACGTGACAGTCTAAATAGTGCTCCCTTGTATGTAACTACCTGCTTTTCTCTTGCAGCTTTTAGTATTCTCTCCTTGTGTTTAAGCCTGGTCATTTTAATTATGATGTGTCTCAATGTAGGCCTCTTTGAGTCCATCTTGTTTGGGACTCTCTGAGCTGCCTGGACTTGTGTGTCTTTTTCCTTCACCATATTAGGGAAGTTTGGGGTCATTATTTCTTCAGATAGGTTCTTGATCCCTTGCTTGCACTCATCTTCTGTATCTCCATGATATGGGGGTTGTTATGCTTTGTGTTGTCCCAAAGGTTTCTTAAGGTCTTCTCATTTTTTTTAATTCTTTTTTCTTTTTGCTCTCTGCTCTCTGATTTTTTTCTACCTTTTCTTCCAAATTAATGATTCCTTCCTCTTCTTAATCTAACCTTCTGTTTATTCCTTCCAATGTATTATTTATTTTAGAATTGTATTCTATATTTCTGACACTTTTTTAGTGTTTTTATGCCTTTTTTTCATGCTGTTGAGTATCCTTATAATCACTACTCTAAATTCTGTCTTACAAATCTCTTGCCTTAATTTCATTTGTCTCTCCTTCCTGAGAATTCTCTTGTTCTTTTATTTTGGGTCTGTTTCTTTGTCTTCCCGTTTTGGGTGTATCTTTGTATTTGTTTCTATGTATTACATAGAGACTTTGCTGAAACTCTGCTGTAGGCCTTTGTTCGATGCTGCTTGTGACTGGCCCTGGTCAACCAGTTTAAAATTATCAGCCATCCACAGCATGTGGCTTCCTCTGCTGGGCTTGGGTGTTTGCAGAAAGAACCAGGCTGTGCACCACCGTAGTCTTTTATGAACAAAGGGTACTGGAGAGGGTCAGGTGAAGTCTCACGGAGCTCCCAGATATTCAATTTAGTTATTAAACTAATCAGTGATATAGCCTCCAGCTTAAGCTCCAGGGTGGGGCAGAGTAATTCCTGGGACTGGGGCTATTGCTTCCCCTCAGGCTGATGCCTTTTGGAGAGGAGTGCTCTGCCTCAGAAAGACCGTTTCTGTAATTCAGGGAATGACTCAGCACAGGGATACTGGTGGCTGTTCCTTCAGTTCTCTCCCTAGAGCCACCAGCCTCAGACTCTCCTCAAGCTCCTCTAGTCCCCTCTGCCCTCCCTCTGCTGGAGCCTTGGGTAAGGGGCTGCAAATGAAATGTTGTGTGTTGACCATTTAAGAGGCTCTCTTGAGTCTCCATCTGTCTCTCCTTGGCAGACAAAAATGCTGCTCCTTTTCACAGCTGGATGTTATCTGGGTTTCTTTCTGGCTCTGTTGGTATAGACTGGGGAGCCTAGCTTGGGGTGTAGACCCCACACTTTTCAGGTGGAACCCCCAGCTCCTGAAATGTCTCTCCGGAACTTCAGCTGCTGCTCAGGGTAGCCCAGCCAACCCTATTGCATCTCCTCCACACTCTTTACCAGTCTTGTTGTGGGGAACTGGTTTTTTTCTGTCTGTCAGTGACTTCTCTTCAGCTAGTGTTCAATTCCTTATTCAGGATGATTTCTATACATTTTAGTTGTAATTCCAGATTGGTCCTTGGAGTTCATTAGTATAGCTTTCACTTACTCCTCTGCCATCTTGTATCTCTCTCATGTATTTTATCTTTTAAAAGCTCTTATAAGGTCATATTAATGTGGCATTGCTTCTGTGCCTTGCTTCTACTGTTTGAGCTGCATGGGGATGTTTTTTGTGGCTCATCATTCCTGGCTTCTCTGTTTGAGCCAAATAGAACCCTCCACAGCTTTTTTTTTTTTTTTTTTTTAAGATTTTATTTATTTATTTTTAGAGAGGGAAAGGAGGGAGAGAGAGAGAGAAACATCAATGTGCGGTTGCTGGGGGTCATGGCCTGCAACCCAGGCATGTACCCCGACTGGGAATCGAACCTGCGACACTTTGGTTCACAGCCCGCGCTCAATCCGCTGAGCTACGCCAGCCAGGGCTCCCTCCACAGCTTTTCATCTTGAAGTCTGTTCCACTATGCATTTGGAGCTAATTACTAAAGCATCTAAAAGTATTGTGGTGTAGTGGATATACTGTCTGCATTCATTGATAGGACAGCAGCCTTGAAAATTATTGCTGTGTGTCATTTGAATTCTTTATTGTCTTATTTACATGGAATATAGTCTACAATAGTGTTAATTCTTTTTAATAACCTTCCAACTTTAACCCAATGAATTATGTATAACTTACTGTAAATATTCTCTTGGTAAAGGTTATGTGATATTGGGCACATTATAACTATAATATGATGCTCATTATTGATTGGAAATTTATTTAAACTCACTGATAAAATTAATTAAGAACAACTTTTATGATTTAATGTCTCCTTTGCTTTTTTCCCACCTGTAAAACAGGAAATGGAACAGACAAGAAGTGCTGTGGATGAGGACCGGAAAATGTATCTCCAAGCTGCTATAGTTCGCATCATGAAAGCACGAAAAGTACTTCGGCATAATGCCCTTATTCAAGAGGTAAAGTGGGGAATATCCTCAAAGGTTCTTACAAATGTTTCTTTGTAAAGATAGCACAGAAATAATATGATTCGCAAATACTGTAAAGAAATGCTTAATTCATTACTTAATGGGAACAGACCTCATTTATAATTTCAGTATTAAGTTCAGATTTGCTTTGGCTTGACTTTAGAGGTATAAATTTCACCAATTTATTGAGTCTTTTCTCCAGTTATTGAAGAAAGTTGACCACATCAAATATTCACTCCATAAATATATTAATGTGTACAGTGTGATATTGCTGTGCTTGTCACTGAGGGTTTAATGTAGAGCAAAGCAAGCTGTGGTTCCTGCCCTTTTGGAGTTTACACTCTAATAGGGAAGAAATACATTATTGAAATAATATGCAAGTATATGTAAAGTTACAATAGCATGTACTATAAAAAGGTATACAATACTGTGAGAATGTACATAAAGTCTTAAGGCATATTGGGAAAAGCTTTCTTGAGAAAGGGTTACTTAAACTAAGAGCTGAAAGTTGAGTAGCAGTTAAATGAAAGCTTCAGAGTGTGGGTATTTAGGTAGATTAATTGGTTTATAGTTTAATGTAGTTATCTGTGAACGTTAGATCTTGCTATATATGTTTTCTGCATTTTAATTCCTTCACAACATAAATATTAGGCTTTTTCCTGGCTTTGCATAAAAAATTATTTTTGGTCATTATATCAAAATTGACTTAATTCTCCCTCTCTCCTTATGCACTGCTGAGTTTAAAACTTTTAGTATTGTTAATACACTCACTCACTTGACATATCATGTGTATTCATTTAGGATGAATTTATTCAGCTTACTATAATTAATTACATAATTTTGAGTATATTTTCCTATATGGCTTAGATATGCTTGATGAAACCTCAATAAATATGAGACACTTTTATAGCTGGTTGTTTAAAATTATTTATAATTGATTAATTGGCAGTAGTTTGACACCCATGTCTCTCTTACAGGTGATTAGCCAGTCAAGAGCTAGGTTTAACCCTAGTATCAGCATGATTAAGAAGTGTATTGAAGTGCTGATAGACAAACAGTACATTGAACGCAGCCAGGCTTCAGCAGATGAATACAGTTACGTAGCGTGATGTTGCTGTCCTCCTGTGTGGGTGTGAGAGGATCATTGCCATCACCATTTGGTGTGTTCCTGTGGGGAAAAAAAGCAGGCCTGTGCCTCCATAATTTGGTCATTCGGCAGCCCCTGTTTTCCTGCTGTTTACAACATCACCAGTGCCACGTCATGAGCATCAGAGAAAATGCCTAGAGATATTTCAAGCTCATGTCATTATGACATTTCTTAAAACTTTATTGAAGAATGAGTGAAGTATTGCTGAAATGTGGAAATTTGGTTGGGTACCATGCTTTTTCTCCCCTTCACGTTTGCAGTTGATGTGTTTTTTTTAATGTATCTTAAAGGACATAAAATAAAAAACTTAAATATTGTAATATGACAGATAACCTAATAATTGTATCTACATTAAATGACAAACATGATATTGCTGCTTGTCAAATAAAAAATAAAGAAATAGAATGCCTTTTTTATGTGGATGGAGTATCACACTAAATATATATTAATGTTCATGAGTCATCAAAGCAGTAAATGCTGCTTTAGTTGCTTTTTATCTGAATGGTTTAACTCACTTGTACTCCTACTTAAATCCTACTGAAAAATGTCAATTATTGTTTTTGAGTGCATAAAAATGCATTCAGCATAAAGAATGTTTTCTTTTTAAGGATTGGGACTACACTGTATATAAGCATCTTGAATATTGAGGATTTAATTCCTTCAGGAGTTTCTGGTGATGTACTATATACCACAGAGATGTAGTCTGAGGGAATATGTGGTGACTTCAAGTCTGGCATAAGAAAGAGCCTTCATCCAAAAATGATCTTCTGTTTTCATAATGAATTAATTCTAACATAGACTAATGCCCTATCTCTCTTGCTTTCCCCTCTACTTTCCCCTCCACTTTTCACAGGTGTAGGTGATCCTGTGACACCAGTCTGTTCCCTTGTACACCTGCCTACTTAAGACCCTTACACTTCTCTGATATTTCCATGCTAGATTCACTCATAAGTCACAGCTATGCCTAGCAATGCATAACCTTAACAACTTTAGAAAAATCTGTATGTTGCATTATACCAAGTGCCACTTAAATAGACATGAAATTCCATTATTTTGTTTATTATACATATAAACAGCCAGTATTAGAATACTCTGGTCTATTATATTTATTATCTATTTAAACTATCTTCCCAACCACCACAACACACACACACACACAGAGTTTTTTAAGCTAAATCTTTTAAAGCATATTCCCACATGAATCACTTCACTTACAATACTTTAGTGTATATCTCTTAACGGATTAGGCTTTAACAAAATAATAAAAACAAATCGCTTTTACAGTTGGTTTGTTTGACTGCACTTTTTCTAACTCATGTCTCTTCAGTGGTTAAAAATCTCCTGAGCTTATAATGACTTATATATTGTATATTTCATTGTACCTTTCTTCCTAGAGAGGAAATAATGGCAAACTGTGTAATACTGTACATTGCACTGTCAAAAAGCAAACCTTTGTTTTAATAACTTGTTGATAAAGTTTTCCAAATTGGTTCCTTTTTTTCTTAAATATTTATAAATGTTAAATCAAGCCTTAGCCTAGTATCTGTCAAGAAAATACAGGGTGGGGCAAAAATAAGGTTACAGTTGTTTATATGGAAAAGAACAATTAATAACTAATAATATAAGAATAAATTATTTCATGTACTCATAACTGTAAGCCTGCTTTTGCCCCACCCTGTATATTATATTGGAAAATGGGCAAAGTATTTGTGCTGAAGTCTATGAAAATGGCTGGTGAGTTTTCCTCGCATCTTTTTCCCATTTTATCTGAAAGGAAATATATTTAAGATATGCATGTGCATGAGTAAAGAAGAGGCCAGACCCATTTAACCAATCTACCAGCCCAAAAGGGAGCAGCGATCAGAGTGAATTTTAGACCTTGCCTCAGCCTCCTGAAATCCTTACTGCAGGAGATCTGAGCACACAGCCCAGAGTAGGCTGTACGCCTTGTGCTTATGGGCAGGAACAGTCAGAGATTTAAAAAGGGAAGAAGAGGAAGGAGAGGAGAGGGTTCTCTGCTTTATCTCAGAATAACAAAAATAATGTGAGTAAAATTTGCAGAGGTTTTAACAAGTACATTAGCACTGAGGTAGTTAGTGTGAGTGAGTCTGCAATGCGTTTTACAGCTAGTACAGCTCTTGTCAGCCATCCGTCCTTCCCCTTTGAAACCAGGAATGTTAACTGCTCCTGGAAGTACAGACTTGTTCTAGGGTTTAGTCCAATATTGTATGACAATTTGCTTTAATACAAACAAAAGAATAGACAGTCTGGGATTTTTTTTTTACTTTTATGTATAATTTAGTATATCTATAGGATTTTGTAACCTGTGTAGTCTGCAGTGCTATAAAAGTCCTGTTAATTTTTAAGCTTTGTTAAGTGTAGACTGTGGCAGGTGCTTCTATGTATGTTATTTCATTTGATCTTTAGATAATCTTTTTAACTAGGCAGTGTTCCTGCTGTTACTGACCTGAAACAGGTCCAGCTCCTTGATAGGTGTGAGCCAAAATAACCCTCCAAGTTAATTCTGTTAGTAGGAAATTTATTGCAGGCCAGGGAGCAGGGAGTGCACTGGGGATCATTGCCTGAACAGTGCCTCCTCCAGAACCAAAAACAATGTGCTATTACAGAGCTCCTTGCTACATAAAGAAAATGGCAGTGTACTCCACTGTGGGTGGAGAGTTTAGTGTCATAATAGGGTATAATGCCAAAGGTTAATGTCATTCAGTGGTCCTGTGGTCTGGGGCAAGTTTCTTATCTTTACCTTCTGGCACTGAAGGAAAATATCTTTGGCAAACTTTGTTAGTACTCAATCAGTAACCAAGCTTAGCGAGTGTTTAGGTCATTACGTAGGTTTTCTTCTAGTCTTTAAAACCCTTTTAAAGGGTTTTCTACCTGTACCAGGTAGGAAGGCTACACTGCCTTTCATAGATGAGGAAACTGTCAAAGAGTTTTCTAGGAGTCACTGCCAGAAACTGCAGATCCTGAATTTAATCTCAGTCAAAGCTGTGCTAATAGTCTGTATATAGTGCAGTTTATAAGATAGATGGAAATAACTTCAATAGCTTTTGCTGACTTAAGGAAAAATTTCTGGTTAAACAATTTGTGATAATAAACACTCATTCTTTGTTTCTTCGGATACCTATTTAAGATGTAGATGAACATGGTTAAGTGACTTGGCTCACAGCAGATTCGTGGCAAAGGGTACTTATGAATATAATAGTTTACATGTACAACTATAGAGCAGTTTCAAGTGTATATACTTAATGCAAACAAACCAGTTTTCAGTTAAAAATTTTTGAGCTATATGTTAGGGTGGTTGGTGACACAGGCTATGAAAGAATTCACAGAGAAGAAAGTGTAGAGAATAAAGCTTTAGTTACTCTCCAAGAAAGGGGAGGGGCATGGTGTGGAGAGATACATCACCCTTGAGGGGTAGGGGCTTTGAACTTTTATTGGATTATAATTGGATTAAAAAGGGTGAGGGGGTGCTGTTGTATGGCCTGTGGGCTGTTGGGGCGTTTTGAGGAGGCTACAGTTTGTTCCATTGTTATTTTCTGCATGTGGCTATAGGGAGCAGTTAGTTCTTTTCTTGCTTCCAGTCATTTCCAGTCCTGGGGACAAACTCAGAAGAGTAAAATTGCAGTCATGTTTAACAAGGTTATCAGCCTGCTAGGCAAATGGTGCCACAGTAACAAATGGGGGTGGCTTTGTCCTTAGTAATGGATAATGTATTGAGCTCTTAATTTTTGGTTCCTAGGGAAAAGCCTTGATTGAGCAAGGTCAAAGTAAAGATGGGAACTTTTAAAATACTAGTCCTGCCCTGGCCAGGTGGCTCAGTTGGCTGGAGTGTCGTCTGAACACCAAAAGATTGTGGGTTCAATTCCCAGTGTGAGGGCACATACCTAGGTTGTGGGTTCATACCTAGGTTGTGGGTTCAAGCCCCTGTCCGGACGCATACAGGAGGTAAGTGATGAATGTTTCTTTCTCACATTGATGTTTTCTCTCCCCCTCCCCTTCCTCTCTAAAATCAGTAAGCATATCCTCAGGTGAAGAGATAGATATATATATCTATATATTTCATAAAAGAGCAGTTGTACATGGCCTTAGCTGAGTGGAAATTAACATGGAGAAGCCAACTAATTGAAGGTTGATATATTCATCAAACATTTTTAAGGCTGAAGTAATTAGGCAGTCCTTATAGGACAAAACTGATAGGCTAGAATTCATTAAAGTTAGGATTTACTGATGAGAAGTAATTTTCATATGCAGTGATCACACTATCTAAGGTAATTGTAAGGTTTTTCCTTCTCCAGCCCTCCATCTGTAATCACGCAATTCACCTTTTGTCATTTAGCATATGTTTACTGGTGCCTGTGTATTGTGGGTACAGTAACTGCAGTAATTGGCCAGAACCGTAAGGTCTGTGCCCATGTGAAGTTTTTAAACTTGTCTCAGTCATAAATGTGTCATTCCAAGGGTCAGCACTTGTGAAGGGAAATCCTAGGTACTCTGGGAGGGTTGCATAAGGGAAATTAAAGGGGCAGAAAATGAAGGTAGGAGAGCATATTTTAAACAGGAGTAACAGTGAAGATGTCAGGTAAGAAGTAGCAGCCGGAACCTAAGAATCAAAGGAACAGCATGACTGAATTACACAGATTTTAAGCAGGGAACTTATACTAAGCAGGGAAGAAGAAGTATTGGTAAGTTTTCTTAGGTGATGGGTGATTGAATATTCACTTTTTAATTCTTTAGAGTGTACATATTTATATATTTTTCCTTTGGTGTTTGTGAACTATTTTATAGTATTTGCAAGTTTTAGTGGAAAATGGATAACCTGCATTAGGGTGAAGAATAGAACTCTAGATGCTAATGATGGATAGACCTTGGGAGAAGGTAAGCAGTTTACATGAGTGGCAGTGGTGATCTCTAGAGAAGTAAAGTAGATAAAATTGACACAGCTTAATAATGGGTTGGAGTGGAATGGATTGGATGAGTGTGTGAGGGGGGAACCCTGGGACAGGACGAGGATGGAGAAGGTGCATATGGTCTTGGTTGTAGACATCTTGGGCATTTGACCTGCTTTTCAGATAGTTGAGTGGAGTGGGCAGATCAGTCTCTGCTGCATGGGAGCTCTGATCCTGAATCTTCTAAAGTAATTCATAGAAGTTTTTTAATCCATCTCATTGCTCTCATTAACACTCATGGCTTAATATCCAGGTTAAATGTGGCTAGAAAGTAACCAACATTTAGCACATGAATGTATTACATGGGTTTTTAAGTAATAAACACAAGGATGGAAAGATTGAGAGTATTTGGTTTATAAAAGCTCTAGGATTTGGCTGACTTCTTAGAACTTGAGTGGATGTCTTTGCCACCCCACCTTGAGGCAAGGAAACATTTAAGAAGTCAGGTAAAGGACCCAAACAGAAGCCTGCCATTTGATTATCTCATATTCACAAATCTTTGTTACCTGTTGGTTGAGCACTGTCCTTGAGGGAGAAATACATTATTTGGGTTTTGTATTTTCCTGACAAGTTTAACAATATCATTTTTTTTCCAGCAAAAAGGGAACCTTTGGAAATCAACTTGGAAAGAACTGGAATAAGAAAGGAAAGGTTTTAAAAAGGTTTTTGTTCGTTATCATTTCCCTTTTCCCTATTGTTAGTAACTTACTATTTATAGTTAGAGTAACTGAGAATTGCAGCCAGTGTTGAAGTTAGCACTCCTGGGGAGGGGGTAAAGTTCTTGGGTTGCTAATTTTTTCCTGTATGGCCAGATTGATATTTTTCTTGGCAGAGCTTTGGCATTGCAGGAAAAGGATGTGAGTTTTCTGTGGCTTTTATTACCAGCCGAGTTTACGTATCAGCTAGCTCACGGGAGTGCTCTCAACATAGCTGCAATCCTATGCTGAGAGCCTCGGCTCCTTCAAGTGGGTGATTTTATCTGTCTTCTAGGGAAGAAAAGACGGATGTGGAAAGCAAAGATAAACTTTTAGCCAAAATAAGCTGGTTTAGGGTAAACTTTAGTAGAACATCTGCCCCAAGGAGGTCAGTGAAATAACAGAAGTACTCTGGCATTAAAGGAAAAGCTGAGTGCTGACTAGAAACAAAACAAAAAGCTGTTGTATCATTTAGTTTATATACAGCTGAAGTGACTAAATTCAAATCAATACTCTGCTATGAAGTAAATATCTGAGGTTCCTTGTTCAGATTGTACATTTTTAAATGACCATCTCTAAATGTTGACAAGAAAGATGAGGACCTCCAGCCACTTGGTAAGTGGAATATGGAATGGAACTATGAGGTACAAGAAATCCAGAAGCTGCATGCCCTCTCTACTTGTCAACTATGTGCTTGACCCTGGTTGGGGCTACCCTCTCCACTGCTCCATGCTGCAAGGAAGGGAGGCACTCAGTGAGGATGAGGTGTCCGGAGACTAACACCTCACTTTGCTGTTCTCCCCACAGGCAGTGGCCTATGTCTAAACAAGGCTTCAGTTTGCGTTCCT